TGAAAATATGTCTGGAGGGACCAGCAGATAGCATAATGGTTACATCACTGGACTCCGACATAGCTAACTATGGTTTGAGTCCCAGGTCTGGTGGCTTGAAACTCACGCCAGATGCATGTGTGTAAGTGATCAAAATCTTGAGAGGAGAAAGGACTGCAGTATGGCCATCCCCTCCCCCCGGGGGGTGGGTGACTTCCCACCTTCAGTCCCTCTGGCACATATCCTCTAGCAAAATATCTCTCTATAAAGAAAGAAAGAGAGGAAAATCATCTGAAAACATCGTGCCATTCAGACACCACTATTAGGCTTCAAAAAATTCTTGCTTGAAAAACAGAATTAAAGTATGAGTTTATTGTATTGCAAAAAAGAAAGACATCCATTCAGTTTTTCCATAATACATACTGTCTGTGAACTTTCTAAAGGTCTCTCATTTTATTGGGTCATCAGAAAAGTAATGAAACACACACTATTTGGAACTCTCAGGTGTGTTCACTGGGACTTGGAGAAGCCCATCTTTGTCTAATCCTGCACCATCACATTAGTCCCAGATGGCCTTGCTGAAAGGTGAGCTGTTTGTGGCTGGGAGGGATGCTGGAGAGCATGGCTCATAGCCTCTCTAATATGCCTTGGAATTCTCAGGTGTGTTCATTGGGACTTGGAGAAGTTCATCTTTGACCAGACCCCACACTATCAGGACATCTGCCTCAGTAATAGGCCTGGCTGCATTGAGTGGTAGGGACATTGAGCTACAGAGAGACTGTGGCTCATCCCTTGCCACATGCCTCTAAATTCTCAGACTTCAGTGTTTCGTGAAGCACGCATTGCACAACTCCTTCTTTCTTCCTCAATTGAAGCAGCAGCTCAGCCCCAGGTGCACCTGTTTTCTAGAAATTGGGAGGACTGTGTAGGTTGCTGGGTGAACATCAGGGAGGTAGAGCAGAGAGAGATAACTGATCACCTCCTCCTGTTTGTGACTGAACACTCAGAGTAAACTTGAAGAATTTAGAAAGAAATGTATAATTTACCTCATGACTAGAAACCATTACAGAGGCACACAAAAAAAGAAAAACCAAGAAAATATCTCTCCCCCAAGGGAAAACATGAATTCCTCACCATCCAAAGACAATACTATGGAATTCATGGAAAGGTCAGATAAACAATTCAGAATGTTTATAGTGACAAAACTAAATGAGATGCAGGAGAAAGAGACAACAAACCCAAGAAGATGCAAAAGAAAAGAGACAGGGACCAGCAGTTAGCGAAATGGCTATGTCGCTGGACTCCCACGTAGTTGACCGCGATTCACGTCCCGGATCTGGTGGCTTAAAATTCACGCCAGGCGCGTGTGCGTGAGTGCCCAAGATCCCGAGAGGAGAATGGAGGAGAAGGGATTGTGGCGTGGCCATCCCCCCACACCCCTGAGGGTTATTTCTCGCTTTTTATCTCTCTGTCTCTGTCTGTCTGGCAAGCGCATGTGCCCTATAGCAAAAACCTCTTAAAAAAAAAAAAGAGAGAAAAGAGACAATGAGAAGATGAGGAAGCCCTTTCACAATTTGAAAGAATAGACACTATAAAAAAGAATCAAGTGGAATTGTCAGAGATGAAGTCTCTAATACAGGAAATCAAAGCCTCCCTCGAAAGCAGATTAGATCATGCAGAAGAGCAAATCACGAATGTAGAAGACAAAATCTCTGATCTAAATAAACTATCAAAAAGACTGAGAAAAGCATTCAAATAGGCAAAGAAGAGTTGAAAATATCTTTATTTGCCGATGACATGATGTTAATACTTAGAAGACTCAAAGGTTTCCATGAAAAAGAACTTCTCAAAGTAATAAATAAATATGGTAAAGTGGCAGGATACAAAATCAACATCCAAAAATCGATGGCATTTTTATATACGAACAACAAGTTGAACAAGGTAGAACTGAAGTCCCTGTTACCATAGCCACAAAATGTATAAGATATGTAGGGACAGGGACCAGCAGTTAGCATAATAGCTATGTCACTGGACTCCCATGTAGTCGACTGCAGTTCGTGTCCCAGAACCGGTGGCTTAAATTCACAACGGGTGCATATCCAAGATCCCAAGAGGAGAATGGAGGAGAAGGGATTGTGGCGTGGCCATCCCCCCTGGGGGGGGGGGGGATTTCTTGCTTTCTATCTTTCTGTCTCTGCCCTATAGCAAAAACTTCTTAAAAAAAAAAAGATATGTAGGGATAAATCTAACTAAAGAAGTCAAAGACGTTTATAAGGAAACTACAAAAATCATAAAAAAAAAAAAAGGGAAATGACACAAAAAAGTAAGACATCCCATGTTCCTGGATGGGAAGAATTAATATAATAAAAATGCCAATTCTACCCAAATTAATCTATATATTTAGTGCAATTGCAATCAAATTATCAGAGACATTCTTTACAGATCTAGAAAAGACAATCATAGAATTTGTCTGGAACCATAAAGGACCCCAGATTGCCAAAGCAATCCTGTGCAAGAAGAGTGGAGTGGGTGGCATCTCACTCCCTGACCCCAAAATATATTATAAAACTGTGAAAATCAGAACAGCATGGTATTGGCACAAAAACAGACAAGTGGACCAATGATATAGAAGAGAGACTCCAGAAATCAACCTCAAAACATACAGCCAACTGATTTTTGACAAAGGATATCAGTCAATCCAGTGGGAAAAGGAAAACCTCTTTAGCAAATGGTGCTGAAAAAAATGAGTATCTGCAAGCAGTAAGATGAAATTGGATAACCCCATCTTTCACCATCAACGAAAATCAATTGAAAATGGATTAAAGAGCTACACCTAAGACCTCAAACTATAAAACTACTGGTGGAAAACACTGAGGAAACTTTGGGATACATTGGGGGAGGAAAACACTTTTTTTTTTTGAAACACTTTTTTTTGAGAGAAGTTTTTGCTACAGGGTGCGTGCACTCGCCAGAGAGACAGAGAGAGATAGAAAGCAAGAAATCACTCCCCAGGGGAGATGGCCATGTTGCAATCCCTTCTCCTCCATTTTCCTCTCTGGATCTTGGGCATGCACACTCCTGGTGTGAATTTAAGCCACCGGGTCTGGGACTCGAACCACAGTCAACTACATGGGAGTCCAGCCACATAGCCATTACACCAACTGCTGGCCCCGGCAAATACGGTTTAATTAAATAAGATCCCCCCAAAGTCACCAAGTCTAGGACTTAAACTGCGGTTGGCTTTAATCACCATGACACCTGCTGGCCCCCATTTTAAGTTTTATTTCATAGTATGATTTTTGTTACTTGCATGCAGTCATTGTACTGTATTTTATATTACCGATTTGGAGTAGAATTATGATGCAGTCTAATTATTTCCATTTTAAATACTATAAAATAATTTCTATTATTTTCCTGCAGAACTGACGACTTTTAGGAATAGATTACTGACATTAGGTGAGAAACACTTGTGTTACTAACCTTTTGAGGTTACAAAATCCACAGAAAGTGATGGGGATAAAAAAGAGATAGTCATACATAAGATAATGTATTTTACAGCAACGTGTGTTTGAAGTTGACTTCAGTATCCCAAATATGATCTCAAAAATTAACAAGTACATTAACTGTGGCAAAATGTGAACCAAAAAGTCAGTATGGCTGACAGCTACATATCATGTGACACTGGGAAAATCACCTATTTCCTCAAATCCTACATTTTAAATCTTTCTTATAAAATGGAAATACCTTACCAAACCCTTCCCACACTACCAGGATAGAGGTATCATTAGCCTATCACTAGATGATCAATGAGAATGACAGACTAGGATTTAGAAATTTCAGACTCTTGGGACCAGCAGATGGCGTAATGGACTCCCATGTAGTTGATGGTGGTTTGAGTCCCAGAACCGATGGCTTAAACTCACTCTGGATGCAGGTGCGAAAGTGCCCAAGGAGAATGAAGGAGAAGGGATTGTGGCATGGCCATTCCCCCTGGGGGGGTGATTTTTCGCTCTCTGTCTTTAAAAAGAAAAGAAACTTTAGACTCTGAAAACAACGCAAGGAGACTGAACAAATGGGAGTGTTTGTAGAGAGCAGTATAGATAGATCTCGGGTGTGACAGAGTATTTACCACAGACCACACCTTCAAGACTCCTCTCCTAAGAAGTATCACCTCACTTACCCTTCTCAGCCTAACTCACCTCTCCCTTCTGAAAGCTCCTACCAACCTTCCAATAACAATCAGTCGTTGATAGCTTGAAAAGGCAGTACCACTCAAATTTTGTTCACGCCAGATAGTGGGTAAAAAAACTGCATGGACCGGGTAAAGCTAAGATCTTCCCCTTTATAAGACTCCTCCTGCCTTTGCTCTGAAGAGCTAGTGAGAGCCTTCGGGTCATAACAGTGTTCTTTCAGGTAGAGTTCCCATTCATAGGGCGTCTTCCTTGAAATTTCAAACAGAACCATTATCCAGTGTCTTCATCTCCTTCAGAGAACTCAGAGACTCAGGAAACTAAATTTTGAATAAACGTCCGTAAACCCGAAAACGGATCAAATGCAGAAATGTCACTTGCTGAACAGACACCAAGAAACTTCACAAACACATCTGCCAAGTAAGACTCGGTTGGCTCACACTTTACAGTGACTTTTCTGGCAATTTGAGACATTTACCTAATACTCTTAATGTGCTCACGTTACAGATACGTAAGCGGAACATCTTAGGTTAGTAACAGAACCCTCCGGTGGGAAAGCTACAACCGACCGCCCACGCTTTCGCCGTCTCGCCCACGTAAGCCCCCTCCTTGTCGCCATCTTGGACCCGACCACCCCGGGCGCAGAGCTGCACGAAGCAGGTTTTCTCTCACCTGAAAATACACGCCTAGCCTTCCTGCACTGCACCGGCATCTCACAAAGCAATTACTGAACCCACTGCCTGAGATGCGAATTCCCCAACCCAGAACCTGCGGATCTTTATGCTAAGGTCATTCTCCCAGACGCTCTCCGGTCCGGGACGGGACTCGTACCTGCAGGTCAGGTCCTGCCAGCCTGAGAACCACTAACGTGTCTGCTCCCGTCAATGGACGCAAGTATCGCTCTCTAGAGTGTCCCGAGGCCCCGGCGCTCCTCTTCCACCCTGCGCCAACATTCGGGGGCACACAATCCACCCCAAAGCTTGGCAGCGTCCTGACAGCGGCGGCGGTGTAACGAATAGCCGACTCAAGATGGCGGGGGTGGGCGGGGCAGCACATGCGCAGAAGGAACACGGAAGAGGCGGCTCAGGGTTCTGTGCCGGTTACGTAACTGGAGGGATAGACTACATTTCCCACAAGGCTCTGCGCCAATCCCTTAGCAACCAGCAGGAAAACTTACCTTTATTTCCGGGGAATGAATCCTTTTGCGGGTAAACCAGGGCCTGATGGGTCAGAGACGATTTCTACACACTTCACAGCCGTGAGTTAGTCTGCTTCTTCATTAAACACTGGTTTGAAAACTTGACACACAGTAAGAGGAATGTAGAAGTTTGTATATAGGCTAATTAGTTGATTTTAATTATTAGCCTTGAGGTTTTTTAGTTCAGTTAGAATTACTGCGGTTGTGGAACCCACAACTATATTTTATAAATGTGTTTTAAAGCATGAAAAATCACGTCTATATTTTATTTTAAACGTATTGACAAGAAGTCAATACTTAGATTGGATTTAAAAGACGTTTGTTTGGGTCTACCAGATGGCATAATGGTTATGTTGTAGTGGACCCTGGTTTGAGTTCTGGACCTCACAGCTTAAAACTCACGCAAGGGATGTGTGTATGCGTGCCCAAAATCCCTAGAGGAGAATGGAGTAGAAGGGATTGCGACATATCCACCCCTAGGTAGGGAAATATTTCAATTTGGTCTTTGCCTTATCTCCGGATGGTAGTGGTTCAACTTGGGTCCCTGTTTGGCAAGCATGGCTGCAACAATACCAGTACTGGCCCACCATAGTTCCTTTCTCTGCAGGAGTCAGCTGGTTGTGTCTGTTTTTATTGTTTACTTATTTTTTTCTCCTTTGTGTCAGATGTGCCTGATTTGTGCTTCTGCTTTCCTCATTTCTGCCACAAACTAGGTGAGGAGTTTCACACAAAGATTTCTCAGAGCTCCTGTTCCTTTTCACGCAGAAATTCTGGGATCAGGTCATCCAGGTAGGTGAGGACTGAGTGTGGGAGAGTGGGTGGGGTGAAGTTGGGGGTGGGTGGACATGGGTATGAGAGGCTTGACTTATGTTATACATAATTTTAATCAGGATTTCCCACTTCATGTTTTGTTTGTTGTTTCTTTTTTTTGGCTAATGATTTATTACTTGCCATTTACATGTATTTTAAACTATGGAAATGATGTTAGACAAAAAGCAAATTTGATTTATATTCAAATTCAAAATGGGTCTCAAAGTACTGGAGACAACTCATAACATCAATAATGCACTGGCACAGGAACTGCTAATGACCTTACAGTTCAGTGGTGGTTCAAGAAGTTTTGCAAAGGAGATGAGAACCTTGAAGATGAGGAGTGTAGTGGCCGGCCATCTGAAGTTGACAATGACCAGCTGAGCACTGATCCTCTTACAATAACACAAGAACTTGCCGAAGGACTTAATGTTGACCATTGTACAGTCATTCAGCATTTGAAGCAATCTGGAAAGGTGAAGGGACTTAAGTAGGTGGCGTGGTGCTTAAAGTACCTGGACTCCCACATGGCCAACCGTGGTTCAGGTCTTGGAACTGGTGGCTTGCTTTCTCACTTTTCTTCTCTCTCTCTCTCTTTCGCTCTGGTGATCACATATGTCCTGTAGCAAAATTAAAAAAAAAAAAACTAATAATAATAAATAAAATTAAGTAAATATTTTTTTAAAATGGGAAAGGTGAAGAAGCTCAATAAGTTGACCGAAAATTTTTAAAAAGTGCCTTCCTCTTATTCCGTGCAATAATGTGCAACTATTTCTCTATTAAATTGTGATGTAATATGAAAAGTGGATTTAAATGACAATTGGCAACAACCAGCTCAGTGGCTGGATGGAGAAGCTCCAGGTATTTCCCAAAGCCAAACTTGCACCAAAGAAAGGTCATAGTCACTGTTTGATGGGGTCTGGTCCACTCTATGACTTTCTGAATCCTGGTGAAATCATTACATCTAAGAAGTATGCTCAGCCAATCGGGACCAGCAGTTGGCATAATGGCTATGTTGCTGGACTCCCATGTAGTCGTGGTTTGAGTCATGGTCTCGGTGGCTTAAACTTATGCTGAGTGTGTGTGCGTGCGTGCCTAAGATCCTAAGAGGAGAATGGAAGAAAAGGGATTGCGGCGTGCCTATCCCCCCTGGGAGGGGATTTCTAGCTTTCTGTCTCTCTCTATCTTTCTGGTGAGCACATGTACCCTATAGCAAAAACCTCTCAAAAAAATAAAAAAAGAAGTATGCTCAGCCACTCAATGAGATGTACCAAAAACTACACCACCTGCAGCTGGCATTGGTCAACAGAAAGGGCCCAATTTTTCTCACAACAATATCCTATTGCACGTTGCACAATGAACACTTCAAAAATTTAACAAATTGGGCACTGAAGTTTTGCCTCAGAGCATCTTGACACGTTTTGCTGAGAAAACACTTCTACAACCAGCAGGATGCAGAATATGCTAAGAGTTCATTGACTCCTAAAGCACAAATTTTTACTCTATAGGAATAAACAAACTTATTTCTCATTGACAGAACTATGCTGATTGTATTGGTTCCTGTTTTGATGGCTAAATATGTGTTTGAGCCTAGTTATAACAATTTAAAATTCATGGTCCAAAACTGCAATTGCTTTTGTATCAACCTAATATTTAGTTTGATTCTGATATGAGAAAATAAGTTTGCAGGCTTTCACCATTAAGTATGTTGTTAGTTGTGGATTTTTCATATGCCTTTTTTTGAGTCTGAGGTGTTCACTGCTTACTTTGTTGAATGTTTTCTTCATGAAAAGATAGTGAATTTTATGATACTCCATACATCTATTTTTTAAAGAATTATTTTATTTAACTTTATTTATTTACTTAAATTTGACCAGAGAGGGGCTGAGAGAGAGAAAAGAGAAAGCAGTCTACCAGGTTTGTATTCAAACTGTGGTCAGCTATGTGAGAGTCCAGCACCCCCTACCACCATGCCACCTGCTGGCCCTCATATATCTATTGAGATGGTCATGTGGTTTTGTTTATTTTGTAATGAAAAGTTGATGATATGAAATGATTTTTGGCTATTAGCCAAAATTTCTGGAATGAGTTCAACTTGATCTTGGGATATAATTATTTGTAGATGTTGCTGGATTGTGCTTATTTGTAGTTTGTTCAAGATTTCTGTACTTATAGTCCCAATATATTTTGTTCTGAATTTTTGTTTTCTTTTGATGTCTTGGTATGGTTTTGCTTCTGTACTACTGGGCCTCATAGAATGTATTTGGAAGTGTCTCTACAACTTTTACTTTTGAAGAGTCTGGGAAGAATTGATACTAAATATTTTCCAAATGTTTGGTAGAATTCACCAATGTAGTTTCTGGATATGGGCTTTCCTGTGTGTAGTTACTTTTTATTACTACTTCCATATCTTCATTTGTTATAAGCCTATTCAGTTTATTTATTATTTCTTGCATCATTTGCAATTTTGTGTTTCTAGAAATTTGTCCATTTCTTTAAAATGATCTCATATATTGACATGCCATTATTCATGTTATTTTTCTTTAAATAGTTTTTCATTTTTGTAAGTTAGTTACTGAAGTCCCCTTTATTTTTATTGAGAGGTTTTTGCTATAGGGTGCGTGCGCTCGCCAGAAAGACAGAGAGACAGAAAGCAAGGAATCACCCTCCCAAGGGGATGGCCACACTGCGTTCCCTTCTCCTCCATTCTCCTCTCGGCCTATTGGTAATTTTGAACTGTATTGTTTAATTTTTTTATATTTGAGTTTCCCTAATTTTTTGAGTTATTAACTTCCATTAGGCCCAGACCAAGGAAATATTTGCAAAATAGATATATGAAAATGACTTACTAGAAGAGAGTAGAAGTCAGCACTGAGAAAACATACACTTTGATTCTATTTATTTTTTTTAGTAGAGAATTTTGGTATAGGGATCATGCACTCATCAGAGAAAGAGAGAGAGAGAGACAGAAGGCAAGAAATTACCCCCAGAGGGGATGGCATGCTACAGTCCCTTCTCCATTCTCCTCTTGAGATTTTGGACATGCAAGCACATGCACTTGGCATGAGTTTCAAGCCACTGGGTCCAGGACTCGAACTGCAATGGGACCACATTGGAGTCCAGTGATGTAACCATTACACCATCTGCTGGTCTCCACATACTTTGACTTTTAAAATGAGTAAGCTTCTGATCAAAAAGGTCATGAATAAAGACATGTTGGGACAGTCTGTGGCCTGGTGGTTAAGGCAGCCAGATCCTATGTGGCCAACTGTGTGGTTCTAGTTCTGGACCATATTGCTTGAGAATTATGCTGTGTGTGTGTGTGCATGTGTACAAAATCCTAACAGGAGAGAGAAATGGAGGAGAAAGGTTTGTGTCATGACCATCCTCCATGGGGGGGGTTCTGTGCTGCCTTTCTTTATCTTTCTTCAACAAGTGCATGCATCCTCTGGAAAATCATAGCAAAATGCTTTAAATACAATTAATTTAACAGAGCTTATTTTAGCAAATAATGATTCATTAATAGGACAGCACTCAAAACTGTGGCTTCTACTTCCCAGCAGCCTGAGAAGGGTACTGAACAGGAAGGTAAAGTGAAAACATTTCTTGATTGCTCATAATAAGGCATTTGTTTCCTTGGGTGTGGTCCTTAGTAATATAATTGATTAGCTGGCTGGCTCTTCTTGACTGGCAGGTTTGTTTGTTTGTTTGCTTGTAACGTTTTAATTTTTAAAAGTTTTCTTAAGTCAACGAGAAAGAAAATAAAATTATTATGGCATTTTAAATTAATCAGCCTTGAGAGAAATGTGGATGTAAGACTTTAGCCATGCATGTAAGACTAGCCACATGTAATGACCATTAGGGGCTCAAAAGAACTGATTCAGGGACCAGCAGTTAGCGTAATGACTATGTCGCTGAACTCCCATGTAGTCAATCGTGGTTTGAGTCTCGGACCCGGTGGCTTAAACTCACACCAGGCCCAAGATCCCGAGAGGAGAATGGAGGAGAAGGGATTCAACGTGGCCATCCCCCCGGGGGTGATTTCTTCCTTTCTGTCTCTCTGTCTCTCTCTGTCTTTCTGGTGAGCGCATGCACCCTATAGCAAAAACCTCCAAAAACAAAAAAGAGCTGATTCGGGTAAGCTGGGCTATGGCACAAAAAATTGTACTCACAGAAACTCAGCCTTGAAGCAATGTACAGATACTAAAATTTTATGCTAAAGTTATCAAAAATTATAATAATATGAATCACATAATGATGTGGAAAAAAATTCTGTAACTTAATTCTTGTCACTTTTCTCTTTCCGCTTCTTTCTCTTTCTTGTAATAAAAATAACAAAAGACAGGGACCAGCAGTTAGCATAATGGCTATGTCGCTGGACTCCCATGTCGTCGACTGTGGTTCGCGTCCCAGACCTGGTGGCTTAAAACTCGCGCCGGGCATGTGTGGGTGCGTGCCCAAGATCCCGAGAGGAGAATGGAGGAGAAGGGATTGTGGCGTGGCCATCCCCTCAGGGGATGATTTCTCGCTTTCTGTCTCTCTGTCTCTCTCTTGTCTGTCTGGCGAGCGCACACGCCCTATAGCAAAACCTCTGAAAAAAAAACAACTCCCCATTTTGCTGCATTAGGTACAGGCTTCTGAAGCTATTGTTCCTGGCTAGCTACCCTGGAGTTGGGACTTGAATAAACTTGTTTATGTTATTGTTTAACAAGCACTATTTCAGGTTGGCATCTGTTCAAGAATGCCTTCCAAGTTAAGTTGCCATTTGCTTATTTACGGACTAGGTGTACAAACAGCCTCAGACTATTGACAGCCTTATTTTCTTTAACAAGATTTTGCCAGTTTTGTTCTCAGAGGAATTTCCACTTGTGGTTTCTTTGTTGTCTCATCCAAATGCTCTTCTTGGGTGCCTGGGTACTCCCATGTCTATGTTCTCAGGAGCAGTGACTACATTCTCCATCTCTGGACTTGCTCCTACTCTTTCCAGTTCTTTCCTCTAGATAAAAAGGACTCATAACAAGTCCTCTGCCCAGGAAGAGCCTCTTTGCAGTGGGGTACTATGAATGTAAACACACTCTTACAGGCACAGCCAGTGGATTGGGTTGGGATCAGAACACAGGACATCATAGGACAGGGGTGATGGCTCCCATAGCTTGGGTTCAGAGGCCTCCCTGAGTCTGATTGCAAAGAGGAGGACCAAGGAGCTCCAGGGCCAACCCGAGGATAGAAGAATGAGTCAGGGAGGGGGCTCAGGAGAGGACTGAAGGTTGCAGAATCCCAGGTCCTAGGGATGGTGTGTGGGGGGACCCTGCACTGCTCTCAAGGAGCAAAAATCTACCCCCCTTAGTGGGGACTTTATGAGGATATGCTGTCCTCCACACCTGGGATCCATTGTAGATGTCACAGTCCCCACACCCCTGTTACCCTGAGATGCTCCAAGGCTAGTCACTTCTCTGTCAGGTCTGAGATCCACTCATATATTTCCAGGTAAAAGTGCTCTGAGCCTGGTCCCTGCTCTTCAAGTCTGTGTATCCTCTTGGGTTCACTCCAGTGTGTTGAGCCCAGTCACTCTGGGCTGCTTCTGCTGGAAGTTAAAGATGTCACAAACTTGGAACTAAGTGTCCTTTGAGTCCAGCAGGCACAGCTGATCCTGGAGGCTCAAGGGCCTCAGTAAAGGTGAATGGGGCAGTGAGTGGATGAGGAGCTTCTGTGGCTCTGGTCTTTACAATTTTGTTTTTGTTTTTGTTTTTAAATGGACTAGAATGTGATGTGCCAGATTTGCCCCTGTGGAATGTAAAATTTCACTCTGAGGACCACAGACTGTAGTTCCCATTTCTATTCCTTGTCATCCTGAGGCCAAAGACACAGTATGGAGTCAGCTCCCGGGACTTCATGGGCTCACCAGAAAGGGAGGAGGCCTGGGGTATTGCTTTAAAAAACAAAAGTACTGCTTGTATATATATAAATTTCTCCCTTCTTCTTTATACTTAATTTGTTCTATTTTATACTTGAGATGATTCATAAACTCAAATACCTTTGAGACAAATGTGAATGATATCTCATAATTTCTTATTAATTTCTAAATACATTGAAAGTTCCTACTTGTCCCAAGGCTGCATGAAAAAAATACATTTGAAAAATGTGACATATTTTAATCTAGGCTTTAAATTTCCGTTTCTGAATATTTAATGCAAGTATGGATGATGAAGCATGTCAAAACTTTTTGGGAGGGACTAGCAGATGGCATAATGGTTAAGTTTCTGGACTCCCATGTAGTCAACCATGGTTTGAGTCCTGGACCTGGCAACTCAAAACTCACACCGTGTGAGTGCATGCCCAAAGTCCTGAGAGGCAGGCCCAAGATCCCGAGAGGAGAATGGAGGAGAAGGGATTGCGGCGTGACCATCCCCCCTGGGGGTGATTTCTCACTTTCTATCTCTCTGTCTCTGTCTTTCTGGTGAGCACACACACACCCTATAGCAAAAATCTCTCAATGTGAGATATGTGACACTTGGTTTTACCTAACGAAATGTTAGTTTTTGGATATTTTTAGAAACATCTAATGGAGATGTCTGTTCTTTCATATAAACATTAAGAAAACACAGTAAAACTAGATTTTTAAATTTCAACAGCCTCATTTATACTCTTCATAAATTTTAGGACCAGCCATGGTAACAAAGTGATAATAATGCTGCTCAAGTGATGCTGTACTTATATTAAAGATCACAGATTTGGTTCCTGGGTCTACCTGTCTATAATAGTTTAATGTGCTGTGATCCTGGCTGGCTGGGAGAGGATTGTGGCATGAGGACCTGTTGAAGGTATTTCTCTCTCTCTCTCTTTCATGCTCATAAAAAATAACTTTTAAAAATAAAATATAAATTTTAATGTGAAATATGTGAGTGAATATTTCTTTTTCTTTGTCTCCTAGAAACTCTCGAGTTCATGCTGTCTGGATTTTGGCAAAAGCAAATTCCAAGTACTCTGGCTGCTGAAATCTTTTTGAATATTATGTCTAAGAGGACACCTACTGGTTTTCCCATAACTAATATGATTTTCTCAAAATTTTAAGTTAAAAATTTTAAATGTATTGTTTCAAATGGATATGTTTTGGAAGACAAGTTTCTCTTAGGCAAGGGGACAAAAAGAAACCTTGGGTTCACATGAAAAAGGGGAGGATTGCCAAGCACAGTGAGCCAGCTGGTGTGCTGTGCAACAACGGCCCCTTCAAGCTCAAGTCCTCTCTCTAACTTGCACCTGTTCCCCAACTCAAAGTTCCAGCTGATGATGATAGACTGCTGCACCTTAGTGTGCTCCATGATCATGTGCATGGTCACTAAGGCTTTGACCTCAGTAGCTTTACCCTGACTGCCTCACCAAGTAGAGCAAGGCCATAGACGTCATGCATACCTAGTGCATGGGGATAATTGGACACAGATTAAAAAACAGTGCTGTACACCATTTGGGGTTAAGGAATCCAGATATATGATCCACATTTAGTTTTCTCTTGGCAACCTCTCTCTTTGGAGATAATGTGCCTGGGTAAGTGATTCAGCCTCCTGCCACCCTGCTCCATCAAATTTATGTTCATGTTTATGCATAGGGTGTGTTTGGGGAGTCTCAAAATCAACTGAAGTGATTCCTCCTGGGCCTACATGGAATATGCATCATTTAAAAGAGCCCTATAAGGTGGGCGTCTCCCCTTCCATCCGGCTGGCAAGTGGGGAGTCACTGGGTGGGCAGGGTTGCCTTGCTGCTCCTTGGCATGGCCTCTGCCACCAGACAACCTTGCCAAGCAGGCCCAAGGTCTAGAGTTCGGAGATGAACATGTCCAAGGGAGATGTGAGTTGGATAGGCCACAGACTAACCTATCTCTGAAGCAGGACCCCAGGCCAGGCCTGCCCCATCCTCAACCTAGCATGCATCTGTCGGTGTGCTGAATGCTGCTGGCAGCTGGCTGCACCCTGGCTCTGGTGCTGGTGATCTAGGGCAGCAGGTGCTGGAGTGCTAGGAGGTGCTGATGGCCCACAGAGCCCCTGGTGGGCCATGTGGCCTGAGCAGGAGGATCTGGTGATGGTAAGCGCTGACCACTTGGAGTACCATGCAGCTCATCTTTGTGGGTGGCGTGCTCCCCAGCTGCACTTGGATATGCTGGACGCCCACTCTGAGGTGTGCTGGGGTGAGGAGACCCGCATCATCCCCCTGGGTGCTGACCATGCACCAAGCTTGGTCTAAGTCTGGCCTGGAGAAGCTGCAGATGAACAAGGCAGGCATGCCCAATGAGGTGCTGGACACCACCATGCAGGCCTTCATTCTAGAAGTGATTGCCAAGCACAGTGAGCCAGCTGGTGTGCTGTGCAACAACGGCCCCTTCAAGCTCAAGTCCTCTCTCTAACTTGCACCTGTTCCCCAACTCAAAGTTCCAGCTGATGATGATAGACTGCTGCACCTTAGTGTGCTCCATGATCATGTGCATGGTCACCAAGGCTTTGACCTCAGTAGCTTTACCCTGACTGCCTCACCAAATAGAGCAAGGTCATAGACATCATGCATACCTAGTGCACGGGCAGGGACAAATGTTTACCCATGTACTATAAGCAGCTGGTGCTGCACCCCAACGTCCCTCAAGTTCATATTAAACTTCTTGGGCATCCTGGAACAAGGTGGTTCTGCACTAGAAGGAACTCATGGGCAAGCCTGTGGAGTCTCCCTGTCCAAAATCATGTGGTCCACAGACCAGGTCATCAAACCTGTGAACCTGGAAGCACTCTCCAAGTGGACTGTCCATATCTCTGAGGAAGTGGTGTGGGACATGCCCAGATAGCCCCCATGCTGGCTTGCCTGGGATATGACCTGTAGGGAGCACCTGGATCTGATCAATGGTGACTTTTAAACACATGCAGAAACTTGGTTCTTTGGGCTGTTCTTGTAAGGCAAGTTTAACTACGAATATACCTTCTGCCACTGTGTCAAAACTACAAGGCAGTATCAGTTAAAGGAAACTATGTGTTAGCCAGAGAAGGCCTGAGAAGATAAGAAAGTTAGTATAGGACTGCAAGGCACCAGAGTTCTCACATCTTTAGCTGATTAACATCTGAAAACCACCAGCTTTACATTCTGCTTCCCCTTCCTCCCTTTTCTTCCTATAAAATAATAAACCTGAGAATGGCTTGGGGCCAAGGTTGCCTCCATCAGAGGAGTCTGGTTCACCAGATCCTTACTTTTCTCTACGTGTGTATCTTTGTATGTTTGTTTATAATACATGGCTGCTCCCACTCAGAACATGTTGTGACCAGCCATGCCAGTCACAGCAATGACCCATATGCAAACCCACTCAAGTTTGGAAACTGATCCCATTGTTGTCAACAACACTCACCGGGTCTTGAAAAGGGACTATAAAACACAAACTGTTCTGAAGTGATACTTTTAAGTAAGCTAGAACAGCACTTCCTCCCACTTTGGAAGCTCGTGATTTCCACACCTCTGCAAATGGCTTTGCTGCCAAGAAGTGGAATTCTAGTGGAAGTTGGACCTTTAATCCAAGTATATTGCTTGCTATTAATCATCAAAACATGACTGTACATGAGGAATGTACTTGCATATGTATGCAGAAGCTAAGACATTGAAAAAGGACCTGGGGTGATCGGCAGGTGGTGTGGTGGTTAAGGGTGCTGGACTCCCATATGGCTGACCACAGTTCAAGTCCTGGACCTAGCAGCTTGCTTTCTCACTTTCTCTCTTGTGGAGAGTAGCCAATTTGAAAACATGTGATTAAAACATGTGGCCTGAAGACACAGGCAGATAGGCGCTTCTATAAGCTACTCTAGCAGGGCTATTGAAAAGCATCTGCAGGGACCAGCAGTTAGCATAATGCCTATGTCGCTGGACTCCCATGTAGTCGACCGCGGTTCGTGTCCGGACCCAGTGGCTTAAAACTCACACCGGGCGCATGTGCGTGCGTGCCCACGCTCCCGAGAGGAGAATGGAGGAGCAGGGATTGTGGCGTGATCATCCTCCCTGGGGGGGGATTTCTTACTTTCTGTTTCTGTCTCCATCTCTCTGGTGAGCACATGTGCCCTATAACAAAAATCTCTCTCTCTAAAAAAAAGAAAGGAAAAAAAATGATAAAAATCCCCTGTGTAGGGGCCAACAGGTGGCATAGTGGCGAAGGCTCTGGACTCCCACATGGCTGACTGCAGCTCAAGTCCTGAATCCAGCCACTTGAAACTGATGCTGGGTGTACTTATGTGCATGCCAAAAATACAAGGAGGAGAACGAAGGAAAAGGGATTGTGGTCTGGCCGTGATTGAGGTGATTTCTCACTTTCCCTCTCATTGTCTCTCTGGAGTGCACATGCAACCTATGGAAACTAAAAGATCGCCTTCAGAAAACTGTAGCTACCCAATGCATTGTGTCTACGATGTTAAAACGTGCATTAGACACAAATACAAAACCATGAAACAAGCCACCATTCTTCAACAATTTGAGTGAAGATAATGCCTAAGGAACAACATGGATGACTTGCAAAGGATGGACTCTTTACTTTAAGCACTATTAAAAAAAAAGGAGCACAAATGGGTAAGTGTGTTCAGTTATATACACTGAATAGAACCTTTGGCACTAGGAATCAGAGCATTTTGTCATATAGCATTAACACATATTATAAAAGTGCGTAGTGTCAAAGGAATAGAACCACCAGCATTCAAAGCAGCTTTGTCAACTAGGCAATTAAACACTCTACAGCATGTCTCTGTTGTCCATCAT